ACAGATATTTAGTTAAACAAATATAACACTTTGACTTTAGATTTTTAAATAATATCTTAAACAATAAAATATTCCTCAATAATGCGGAAAATAAACAAAGCCAATAAAAAATCTGCAAGCGGCGTTTAATTTGCAGCGCATGGAGTCGAGGCAAGTGTGACAACCATCTCCATATATTTTGTGACAAGCAACCCCTTCTGAGTAAGTTGCTGGACACCTGTACATTTACCTAAAAGCGTGAGAATTTCATGATAATTTTTTACGGATTAAGTTACTCAAATGAATAAAGTACTTTATAAATCTACATTCAAAACACAATAAAATAATTTTCGTTCGGTAAAAGAAAATTTCTGAGTAGACGAAATTTTACTTTTTCATATCAAAAACCTTTAAAAACGAATAACTTTTTTTCTGCACGCTAAAAAAAGATAAAAATTACTGTAAAAAATGTTTTTTTTATATAACATTTCCATTGCATAATTTGAAATTTCTATATCTTATTTACATTTCCTGTTATAAACTTTGTGACAACCAACCCGTGTGACAACCAACCCCGCTCTCCCCTACTTTGCAAGAACAAAATGATTTAACTTCGTGCTTAATATTATTCGTTTTTAATTTAGTAAGTTGGTACCACAGTTAAAATTTTGTTAAGGGTTGAAAAAAATCAGGTTACAAACCTTTAAAAAAAGTATTGCATGGAAATCGATTTGTAGTTGCTCCACCAGAAGCAATAAAGAATCCAGTTTCTACTTTAGAAATCATTATAAATGAAGCTCCATGTTCAGCAAGTAGTTTAAAATTGAAAAATAATAATGTGAAGGAAGCAGATTTGAATATATCTTATTTGCTAATAGACTTTAATATTTTGGCATAAACAAAATGTTTGTGTTCAGTTTGCCCAGAATGTAATCAAATGGGAAGAATGTTATTAAATGCAATCAAACTATGTACTCAAAATTTAACAACAGAAAAGTAATTTTAACTTTTAAAAATTAAATTTTTTAGATGGATTTAAATTGAGGAAGACTTAGCGCTATAACAAATATAGTATATAGTACCGTAAAACGGGGTGACTTTGATACGCGGGGTGACTTTGATAATTTCGTCTGTTAGTTACAAAAATAATGATTTGAATGCGAAATTGCACAATTAGAGACTATTTTTTTTTTATTCTTGTACATAATTATATTCTGCTAATATTTTTGAAATTTTAATGATTGTGAAGTGATTCTAAATTGTGCAAATGTGTTAGGAATAACATGACTATAACAAAAAAATAACGATTTTTGCACGTACCAAAAAATGCCAAAAAATCTTGTGATTTTAATTTTTTTGAAATTTTTTTTTTTCTAAAAATATATACTTAGATGTTCAAGTGGTATTTTCCAGTTATAATACCACTGGAATATACCACTCGTTTTTGGTTACTCTCAATCACATTTGCAGAAAAATCAGTGTAAATCAGGGTAAATCAGTACTTAATATTTATATGCAATTAGTATTATTTTTTTGTTAGTGTTATTTTATAACTGCTAATTACTATAACAATGTTATTGATATATTATTTTTCTGTGTTTAGCATATTAACATCAAATTTATTTTTGTTTTTTCTTTGTCCATTCTGTAGATATATTCGATAACCAAACTTGTTGTCTAAATTTATAATTTTAGCAGTAAATCTTATAAGTTTATTAATATGTTGTGTTCTAATTTAGTAAAAGTCAAAAAGAAAGTATTAGCGACACTGTAAAGAGGGTTAAATCAAAAAGCCATTAAGAAATAATAGACTATCAAAGTCACCCCAAACGACGGGGTGAGATTGATAACATTTTGGATTAAAAATATATATATTAAGACAAAAAAAAATTAAAAATATTTAATGGAATTATATAAAGGAAAGGTATAATGTTATAACGGGAAAAAAAGAATAAGAAAAAATTGTAATGAACCAGATTTATTTTGCAAAAATGCTCAAAATCCTAACAAAGTCGTTCTACGGTATATATACCAACAAAATTTTATATATATAAATATATTTATATAATAAAAATCATAAAATATAACATATTAAATCAAAATAATAATAAAAAAATAGAACGTAAAAAAATATTTATTAATTTAAAAATAAAGTTAGGGTATTTCGGGTCCCAACATGATTAGTAAAAATGGCCCGTAAAAAAAACATGGTTCGTAAAAAAAAATATTTTCAGGGCATCTTATTAAATACAGTAATAAGTGTTTATAGGTCAAACGTTAGTGACACAAGTTTGATGGTATAGGACCACCTTAAGTTAAGTTTTTTAAATGAGTAACTGTTTTTGAATAAATAATTTACTTTTATAAGTAAAAGTTATTTGCATTTTTACTTTTAAAGTAACTTACTTTAAATGGTAAGTCGTGTAAAGTAAATTACTTTGAAAAGTAATTTTGGTTATAATTATGTAAAAAATTTACATGGAAATGTAATTAACTTTTTAAATTTAAAAAAAGTTATTTATAAAGTAAACTTACCTATTATAATATTTAAAAAATATAAGACTTACTTTACAAAGTAAAATAAAACAACATCATTACAACAAATTACTTTTACGAGTAAAAGTAACTTATTAGCAAAAACAGCTTACATAAAAGTAATTTGAAAAAAGTTGTTACTTACATTTACAAATAAAATTAATTTTTTTCTTTGAAATTTTATACTTTACTTTATAAGTAAAATGTAAGTCATATTATTTACTTTCTCAAAGAACAGTTAGTTCATGTTGATTTAACTTAAATTTTGTAAAATAAATCACATAGAAAAAAACTCACTAAAATTAAAAAAGCCATATTTTAACAGTTACAATCGAGTTTTAACTTCATCAATCCTATAAAAGTATCAAACATTGAAATTACTTATTTTTTATGGCAGAGTGGCGTTTTGCACAACTATTTTAATGTTTAAAATTGTCACTAGTCAAGTTGACTTTATAAAGCTTTTTTGAAAACCCGTTAGAAATAAATTTCCGATGAAAACCAGATTAAAAAAAAATTATTGGCTTGCAAAACAATAAAACGTTTTTTCATTTTGTAATAAAAAAAAGATCAATAGAGCACGATTTTCAAATTTTTGTCTGGACATTCTTTTAATGATATCTATTGTTTGACTTTTAATTTTTTAATTTTTAGCTATTCGATTTACTGGAAAACATTTTTTGCCATCATCTCAGAATGAAAAAAAAGTGAATTATCTGGTTTTGCAAACCACTCCTCAATTATTCCTTTATTATTCTATTATCTAACAATTATTTAAGTTAGTCATTTCCAGAAATAACTTTCATTTTGGTTTTTAACAACCACGCTGAATAAAAGAAGCGAAAATATAAAACTTAGAATAAAACTGCAAAATGCAGAGCTATTTCCAAAGCAAGAACAATAAACCAAACCAAACAGTCTTTTAAAAAAAACTTTTAAATAACTGATGTAAATAACATTAAGATTAATTAAAATAAAAAGAACAAATGTTAAAAAAGTAAAAGTAGTTAACTTTAAAAAATATTTATAACTTCTCATAACCACAACAACCGCTTATTTTAATTTATTAAATATAGCGAATTTAGTAAGGTTGTTCAAAAAAGCACACTTTCAAATTTGGTCGATTGTGAAGAAAAGTGTCTTGATGTTATTTTATCATACAGATGAAATAAAATCAAGTTCTTTTTTTTTTAGTAAATTTTTGTTACTTTTTTACTTTAAATATTTTAAAATTTAAAGTAAAAAATTTAACAAAAGTACACAATATTTTAACAACCAGATTTCAATCACATATGTCTGTAGCAAGCTTTTTGCTTTTGTTTTAGAATTTAACTTTATGTTACGATATGGAGCAAACTCAAAACATTTATATATTCATGTTTATGCAAAGCTTTTCAAAAGTATTGTGATAATCGGAGTCTGTTAACAATATACCCTTAAAATGTTAACTTCCCTTTTATGCTATCAGTGCAAGAGCGATGAGTTTTTAACATTTAAATATACACGTTTTTACCATTTTGAACTAAATTTAAGTTCATAAAGTTAATAAGTCTCTAATGTCATGCAATAATCTCTTAGTGTTCAAAAACTATGACAATATAAATTTTGAGCAACCTCCCCAGTTATTTAGTGGATTTAAAATATTATTTTTAATAAAATTAAAAGTTCGTCTGACAACCAAATTCTGTTCCTCGTTGAAAAGTTTGGAGCGAAAGTTAATTTAACTCTTTTTTCGTGAATAAGTAATCATATGACTTATTAAAGTTAAATCAACAAATTAAAATTTGTCGAAGAATAACGAAGAAAATTAAGTTTTTAAAGTGATTTTAGTCTACAAGATGATTTGCATTTTTCAAAAATAGTGTAATATTGTTCAAATTATTCTTGTTTTTATTATTATTATTATTAATTTAATAATTATTAAATTAATTTTTTTTTTAATTTAATTTCGTCATTGATTTTTCTTTTTTTTTTTCTTCATAAAGTCATTCTTTAATGCTGTGATTGATTTTTATTTTTATTTTTATTTCTACAAATTATTTACTTTTCTTTTTAAAACTATACGAATTGCGGAAACAAGAAGAAGACAAAAATAGTCTTATTGCCAAGCTGCTAAATATCCGCTCATAATAAAGTTATTAAAAACTGGTCATTAAATATTATTTAGTCATTAAAAATTTCTCATTAGACTCAAACTTCAGAAAAACGCATGATCATCATCGTATGTTTTTCTGAAGTTTGAGTTTAATAAGTTTATTTTAGTTGACAACTATAGTTTTGTATTTTTTGGGGATATATCTAAATAATTAATATATATGTATATATGTAATTTATATAACTATGTATATATGTAATAATTTAACTTGAAAATGCGTCGATTCCATTTTTCACCAAATCGATAGAATTACTTAATCAGCAGCATCTTTAACTAATAGTATTATTAATAGTTACGTGCAGATAAGGTCTTTTAATGTGCTGTTAAAAACCATATTAAACTCATTTTTTAACTCTAACTTTATGGTAATCATTAATATAATGATGTCTACTTGCGTAAAATCTGAGATGTAACATTAATATAATTATAAAAAACCAATGATCTTGGTTAATAAATTTACTTTTGTTAAATAAAACATACTTTTGTTAAATAAAACATACTTTAATTGACAAACTTTAATTGACAAACTTTAGTGTGCTCTTGTTTATATCACATTAGAATTTTTAGGAAAATGTTAAAACAACCACCTTATTTGGTCTGGGTGTAATCTTTATATTATCATAACCTTTGAATTTTGAATTTTAAAATCTGTCGACTTGAATTTTGTGTAAAAAAATAAAAAATAAAAATTACTAATTTGTTGCCCTTTTGGGGTAGCAAATGTTTTAGGTTTTTTTTTTGTAAATGGAATGGTGAATGTTTTAAGTATTATTTTTTTTCCAGACTCCAAATTATCACAAGTTTTATTTCTTAAACTACGTATAGGTCATTGTTTAGCCACAGCTCACGTGTAGGTATATTAGACAGTGGCGCGGCAAAGCATATTTTTTCATTAGACATGCGTGGTTAAGGTGCCGAATTTCTGTTTCTCTGGAACAATAACTTATCTTAAAAAAGAAAAAAAATTTTCTAAAAATATCTTAGGGCTCCTAAACTTTGCGGCTCTAAGTTCAGTTGCTTGTGGGACCGTAAGTTTTGCTTATACTGGTCTTGCGGTAATTAGGCCACTGATACTACACGCAGATAAAGATGTTTATGTTAAGAGTTCTAAATCTTTCATGTTTATATATTAATTTGATTTAGGTGCCTCAAGAAGTCCTTACGGTCTTATCACAGAGCACCGCGGATGAGCATTTAATTGGAAGTTCACGCCTCCTTCCTAACCGATGTCGCAAAACTTTAAACCACGGATCTTTTGTTTCTGAGGCAAGTGCATTACTACTACGCCACGGCTGCTCAAATCTAAAAGTATAAAAGTACTGCAGTAGTTTAAACCACGACTTTAAAGTCAAAGGATATTCTTGAGGAGGTGGACATTTTTAGTATCAAAGTTGCATAAAATCTTTACAAAATAAAGCATGTTAAAATGTTCGGGGCTCCTTAATCTTCAGAGCATGGTGTTATAGCCCTCATAATTCAGGACAGGTTTAAACTTTCTTTCCTTAGTTTTTTTTTTTTAAAAAAAAGCTAACTATTATGCCAAATATTTTTCTTTTAAACAAACTGCTCTTTCTGAGTCTTCCGTGGGTGTATGGACTTTCTACTAACTGCCTTATTTCAGCTTTTTCTAAATTGCAGACCTTTCGAATGGTTGGCCAGAGAGTGAACATTTTTGAGATAACGTCGCTAGACATCATAAGAAGTTAAAAGACGTCAATAAAGTAACATCGTTTAAACATCATTATACGGACGACGTTACGACTTATAGGTGTAACGACTTATTTTATTGACTTATATGTTGAATTTTAAAATAAACTCAAAATAATATAAACTTCGGTGTTTTTTACTACAAAATAGATATATATTTTCATAAAATATATTTCAGATAAAATATAAACAAAATTAGGATAACTTTGAATTTTCAATTTTAGCCAAAAAAAATTTTCTTGCTGTCTGGGTAACGCTGCAATAATAGATAATAAATAATAGATAATAAATAATAGATAATAAATAATAGATAATAAATAATGGAAAACTTTTTACTTTAGTAGTCTAATTAAAATAACTATTTTTAAATATTTTGATATTTTATATTTTAATATTTATGGCTATTTTTATAATATTGACCGATATGCTATTAATAAACAAACTTTTATTAATAATAACAATTATCTTTATATTTTTAACATTTAAAAAATGTCAAGAAAATTTTTGAGAACTCATCCTGGCACCATATTGGGCACCATATTGTCTTTAGTATTGATTATGAATATTGTTTTAAAAATCACTTACTTTATATAAGTATAAAAGGAGTACCATTTGGTGTTAATGAAAAAGTTTTTTTATAATCTATCTGGATGAAAAAAACAAGACAGTTTAAAGATTGCCAACCAGATTAAAAGTAATGTTAGCTTTATCTTGACATATCCGTTGTTAAAAGAAAAAATGCGTTATAGTATTTCAAGGAAACGTGTTCTGGATCATCATATAAAATTATTCAGTTATTCAAAACCTTGAGAACAAAATAAATGGAGTAATTCCAAATAATATGTGAATATAATGTGAAATAATGTTGTTTAACTCAATATTGGATAATTTTTGAAGAAATATGTTGATGTTTATCAAATTATTGGGGACAATCAGCTATTTATTGAAGCTTTACATTTGTCTAAAAATCGTGCAGTTCTTTTATTGGAATAAGTAAACAGTTACAATGCGCATGCTTTCTAAGATCATGGTTATGCTATAAAAGAGTTTATTATGACTCTTAATAACTTGTGATAATGAATAAATCTAAGTTGATTGTGATTTTCCAAGTAAAATGAGACAATGTTAATATTGAAAATTTTTTTGTCTCAAAGCAGAGTACTTATGACATCTACTAACACAAAAATCAACAGCTTGTTGAAAATTCATTTTGTCTTATCAAGTATAAGGGAACTTATACCCTGAACAAGTCAAAAAAATTGAAATTGCTAATAAATTGTTTAGAAACATTCTAAATAAGTCCCTCTCAATTGATGAGAGTGTGTATACAATAAATGATGACATGTTGGTTGGAGAGTTGCATTTATTTTATTCACATTTAGATATTTATAACTTTGATTTTTTGTAAACCTTAAACACAGTTTTTTTAATAGTAAACGATGTTCATAAGTTGAGAATTATATGTCTTTAAAACTTTTTCTTTCATAACCTTAAAAATTTGATCAACAAGATTATATAGTGATTTGTAATATTTTATTGAATAAATTGTTTTTATTTTCAAAATATTCTTATTAGATGTATTTTTATTATCAAAATATTCTTATTAGATATATTTTATTGTCAAAATATTCTTATTATTATATTGTTATTTAAATTATATATTATTATTTAAATATTATTTTGAAGCAATGTAAAGAAACTTAAACAACCTTATAAAAAAACTTTAAAAAGATTAAAATTAAAATTTAGTTTAACAGTATTCAAATTTACCCTAAATGCAAGTGTAACTTTGAAACCATACTTGAACTTTGTTTTTCCTAAAAAATGGCAATTAAAAATAGCAAATTAAAAAATTGATTTAAATCTAAAAAAAGGAGATCATCAGAACACCCTTTATGCAAAAATATTTGTTATCTGGTTCGTAAAAAATTTAATGTAGAGTTAAAACTAGCGCAAAGCATACAAAATTACCCAAAATCACTGTATCTGTAAACAATCATCGTAAACAAATTATCATAATGGTACATATTCAATTAGTTTTTTATCTGATCTGATAAACACAAAAGATTCTGGAGAGATTTTGTCACTTAAATATTTTTCAAACTCTCATTCGATTGAACGCGCTGTAAAGTCTGTAGCATCTAAGCTAGCTTATGGTCTCAAAAAAAGGCACAACTTTATTCTTACTAAAGATTGAGTTAAAAGAAAATCACAAAAATGTTAACAAAACCTAATATTTTATCCTAAACAAATGATAAGTTGATTGATATTAAAAAAACTCTTAAACTGACGTTTTTATTCGATCAATGCCTCAAACTCTTTAAAACTTTTTTACAATGCATTGATCTGAGAAATATTCTCTTTTAGCGCCCATCACACCCATATTTTATGGGTGACATCCAAAAAGATTTAAACTTTTATATTTATATTAATTCTTAACATTTTTTGCCAATTTTTGCAACATGCTATATTTAAGTGTGAAGTATTGATGTTTACACAATTATTCCTATAGGAATAATTGTGACAAAACTATAGTTTTGTCAGTTTATAATGCTAAAGCCCGAATCAGTTTCACATTTTTTTTAACTTTTTTCACAATTTTTTATAAAAATGTGTTTGTTTTCACATATAAAATTTTCCACACTTACCAATTTTTGTTTTCAAAAAGTTTTGCTAGATGGAGTTACCCAAATACACACACACACGCATACAGTATGTCTATCTGTCTGTATGTATGTATGTATGTATGTATGTATGTATGTATGTATGTATGTATGTATGTATGTATGTATGTATGTATGTATGTATGTATGTATGTATGTATGTATGTATGTATGTATGTATGTATGTATGTATGTATGTATGTATGTATGTATGTATGTGTGTGTGTATGTATGTATGTATGTATGTATGTATGTGTAAGTTTATTGTTTAGATAAAGCAAATCAGTAATACTAATAAGAAAAGTATTTATGATAGAGGACATCATATAACAATAATAAATAATGTAATAAATAACAAAAGCAATAACGGTTTTTTTTTAAAGATTATATCGTTATAAATATTTTAAATGACAATATAAACATTTATATACTGTTGATTTTCAAAAATAATATGAACATTTACATTTTAGTTATAATTTTAATCAATATAAAACAGAAAACAAACGTGTTTTTACTGTATTACAAATTCTATTCAAATAAATTTTAAGTTCAGGTCAACAAATTTAAAACCCTTCTTTTAAATTTCAAGGCAACTCATTAAAATTTTTAAAAAGAGCCCGAAATTCACGAATATTAACTTCAACAGCCATGATATGCAAAGTTTATTTAAATATCATTGGCTAACGTTACTTATCTTAAATTTTTTATGACCACAACAAAACGGTAGCTGGAAAAAATTCACATGGTAAAAATCCCCCCGAAAAAATCCCTTAGGATTTTATTTTAACAGCGCAAAAATTAAAGGATATAACAATATAATATTTGTTTATAATATAAATATTTTATACATACATATTATAATACAAGCAAAACCTTTATCCATCATTTTCCGATAAATCGACTGATAAATAGGTAGAGCATGAGAGAAGTACCGCTATATTGACTGAGGGTATTGATTTAGGCAGGCAATCTATCAATTTCAAAAAGGTTTTTAAGAAAAGTTTTTTTGCGGGGGATTTTTTTCAGGGGAATTTTTTCCGGAAGGATTTTTCGAGAGGATTATTTGAGGGGGATTTTTTCCAAGAACCAACAAAACCTCATTCAATCAATTAAAAACAAACTAACCCATCAAAATAGTAAAATGGCAAAAAATCTGACTTTTAAAAACAAAGCTTTGAAGAAAAACAAAGAGCTAAGACCTTAATTTTGGAGATTTGAAACAACAAAATTTTAAACAAAAAAGTACAACTATTGCGGCACGTTTAAATTATTTATAATAACAAGAATGCTTTTATTTATAAATACTGCATAAGATAAAAATATTATACTTTTTGATTACTTTTTTCAATATAACGATTGAATTAATTTTTATATTTTTTTGTCACCAAAAAGTTTATTCAGCATCAAAAATTTATAGTGTTTGTATAGTGGACCTGTAAAAATCTATATCTATTTTTATTATGAAGTACAAATTTAAAAGTTATTTTTGAAAAAATTCTATATTACTATAAAAATCCAATAGAATTTGAAAAAATATTTTTAAAGTATTTCAGATTACATATATGGTATAATAGAACTATTTTTAAATTGCTATTGGAATATTGAATATGCAGGAGGATTCGTATTATTGTTATATTCTATAAATCCTATCAGAGTCTTATAGATCTAAAAAAAAGAAAAGATCTATATACCCTGTAGTCCAATAGGACTTATTATTGTAGTATTTTTTTCCTAAAAGATATTTCAGTTTTATATAGAAATATTGTATATAACTTCTATATATAATCCATAGAACTTTTTGACACTGGGTGTTTTTAATTCATATAAGTGCTCTGCAAATCTATTAAACTAAATAATAATCTCATAATTTTAATAGAAACCCTATTTTTATCCTACGTATTAAAATATAAATGTATTTGACTAATAAAATTCTTATAGGATTTAACAGGATATATTTTTAGGTAATTTTTAAAAATAATAATAGCTTATTCCTAAAAAAGTTCTATAAATCTTATAGGAATCCTATAATTCTTATAGAACTACATTATTAATTCTGTAGTAACCCTATGGTTCTACTTTATCTATATTTCTATATAATCTATAGAAATTTTATATGATTTTATATGACTTTTTAACTTCAGAAAACATTTAGAGTACCTTTAAGGTTGCTATAGGATTCCTATTGGTATCCTATTGATCGCATAAGTACCCTATAGAATTAATAAAACACATACAGGAACCCTAAAGCAATACTATTGATACTATAGGAGCCCTATTAGACATATTGACTAGGGCAAGTAAGCTACCATCACGTGTTCCATCAATCAAAAATCAGTGTTACGTGACTTGTCATGCAGGAAAGCATTATTTTACAGTTACTGTTTCTGCATGCCTAAAAACCTTAATATAGATCTAGTTACTTTGTTTTCTGTCGATTGCTTTCTCTCCTTTTTTTTTTTTTTTTGCGTTCTAGTAAATCACACTTTGTAGGGAAAAAAATTAAATGTATATTATTTACCGACTAGTTTCATTCTGAGAGTAAGTAATTTTAAAGATTTGTTACCCAGCCTCCAGATCCAGAAATTTAAGCAACTATATTATTTTTTGTATTTATAAATAATGATAAATAGTAACGTATAATTTATAACGTATAATTTATAAACTTATAACGTAAATTTATAAATTTATAACGTATAATTTATAACGTATAAATTATAACGTATAATTTATAAACTGTTATCAGACTTTGATACTTTTTTTTTTCAAAAAAATAAATCCGTAATTTTTTCAGAGTGGATTTTTTTTACTATAAATGAAACCACTCTGATTCAGAGTGGAATTTTTTATTATAACCCAAAATTAAACAACAACAAAAAACAATAGTAGTTTAAAAAAAAGTCTTCACTGTAGATCGTATTTATTATCTAAATATATAATTTCTGATCACAAATTTATAATAAAACTGATCTTGCGACGTAGTGTTTCATACAACTTTAAATAAAAAAGTTGTAAACATTCACTAAAATGAATAAAAACTATAAAATTTTGTTGTAATATACAATGCGATAAAAAAAAAACTAAAAAACAATTAGTCATGTGTCCAAATGAATAGTTTTCGAAGTTAAACACTCCATTTAGCTCTTTGAACCCAGATGCCATCAGTAGATTCTCGGAAATATAGACCATTATCGTTTCCTTAAACAAACGTAAAACTATTACAACAACAAAAACAACAACAACAACAACAACAACAACAACAACAACAACAACAACAACAACAACAACAACAACAACAACAGCAACAACAACAACAATAACAACAACAATAACAACAACAACAACAACAACAACAACAATAAAAACAATAACTACTACTACTTCTTCGATTACTACTTCTACTACTACTGCTACTACTACTACTACTACTACTACTACTACTACTACTACTACTACTACTACTATTACTACTACTACTACTACTACTACTACTACTACTACTACTACTACTACTACTACTACTACTACTTCTACTAATATTTATAATATTAACTTCTTTGGTTACAAAATAATAATATTCAAAGAACATATTTGTCCAAAACATGTATATAAAATAACATAAAATATGTGTACAAACTAAATATATAAAATATAACCAAAACTAAACTAAAGCATACAAAATAACGTGTATGTACGAAACAACGATATGTATACAAATAGCGTATACACAGCTATCTAGATAAATATGCAGCTATCTACCATTAGTAACAAAATAACGGTGTAGGTGTAGCTAGATACGACTAAATAGCAATGTAGATGTAGCTAAATAGATACGCAGCAATCCATCATTTGTAAATAAAATAGCGATGTTTAATGTGCAATAATTTTTTTCAGAAAAGTTGTCACCAAATCGATCTGGTCGTGCAATGTTTACAGTAATAATCATTTTGTACTGTATATATAGAGTATACACTATAATATACGCATATATTACTAGAAAACGTTTTTTATTAAAAAAAAACAATATATATTACATAAATATAAATAATAAAAAAATCATAAAATATGTTTAGAGCATTGTTTAAGCTCCTCAAACCTTTAAAATAGAGTCTATTCTTTGCGGTTTCTAAGCAACAACAGACTCACAATATTGCGCTTTAAATTGTAATTGCTGGACATTTCTTAAGAGAATGTGTAATATATCTTGAATTAAAGAGTAAGTTTCGTGGCTTATGAAAATTTACTTGATGTGCTGCAAACTTCTTAAATTACGCTTTGTCTGAAAACATGAAAAGTCGCAATATTTTAACAATCCTGTTCTTTTTAAAATTTGTAGCAATTACAAACTATTATTTGAAAATAACGCGGATTTAAAACGCCACAGTACAATTCCAGTATTGCGAGCACTAGTATTTACACTTGAAGTAAGTTGAGCAAGAACTTGTGAGCTTGAAATCTATGCGTGCTTCACAACATAACAGCGTGTTATGTTGTCAGTTTTAGCAACAGTAATTCCTGGTTTTCCATAGAGTTTTCTTGAATTGATCAATCATAAACAATTGTCTTCATCTTTAAATCTGCAACAGTAAATCAATTAGACATGCTGTCTTCCATTAAATGTTGTACATGTGCATGTTTTAACAAGTGATAATATACATCATACTCTAAAATAATAACAATTGAATCGCACATGATTTTAATGCATATAGATTATTTAAATATTTTCCTATTGGTTGATTACTACACAATCACCTTCGCTACGCGTAATTGTCTTCCATTAAATGCTGTACATGTGCATATCTTAAGAAGTGATGTTGTACATCGTACTCTAAAATAATAATGAATGAATCACAAATGATTTTAATGTATATAGAGTATTTAAGATATTTTCCTATTGGTTGATTAATAAACAATCACCTACTCTACGCGTAGTTATTTGGTGGGTGGCATGCAAATTTTGAATTTATAAATATATATCATGAACAACTATGAGCGGTCGGATCTTTTTGGCAATAAATGTGTAAATCTTACAAGTAAAAAGATACAGTAAAACTATAATGAAAAAACTGTGTAAAAGCTATAAAGCTAACTAGTTATTAACTTATTTTCCACCTCGATATTTTTAAAAGAGTTATACTAAAAACTGCTAATTGTGTTTTTCAAGGTATTGTTTAATTCATCTTAATAAAAACTACTAAAAAATCTTACCCATCCAATAATGTGCCCCAAAAGTTACTTCTTGATCGAAATAACCTTCTAATATCTTTAAACGTTTCCAATCTATATTAGCTAAGACATTATTTTTGAACTCTTTATTAGTTATAGCCAACCATGTATTATAAGTACTATGAAACTTTAAATATAACTTTTGATTTCTGTGTATGGCGTATAAATCTCTGTTCAGAACGTCATGACCCAAAACTGAACCAACGCTCAAATCTAAAGCTATATTTATAAATAGTAAACTTTTCATTTTTAAATTAAATATGAGTGCATTAGTTATACCAGAGCCGACGACAACGGGTGGCCGGAGAGTACGTGTCTCTCCCCCAATACATACACTTTTTTTCTAAAAGACCTTTTTTTAAAAAAAAAAAAATTCTAGATATAGAGGATATTTTTATATAAATTAGCAATCGTGCCCCTCCACTTTCAAACCTGTGTCGTCGGCCCAGTACACTTAAACATTATACTGCAATATGATGAACAAGTATTAGGAAAATACAATGATAATTACAATAAAAAAATTTACAATATAAAAAGTAAACTAAAATTAAAATTAAATTGAATAACCTGCCCATTTGATGCCGTTATCTTTTGAAGTATAACAAGCAGGTCTATTGCTATATAACGACAAAAAATTTGGCGTTAGTATTATTTAATATGGTATTAAGCAAACCTATAATATAACTATGTATCATAGATATGCGTTATAACGAAAAATTAAATTTGTTATTACGTTATAACAAAACTAAAATATTTTGTTTAGCGTGATATTCAAACAAAAAACTTTATTTAATTTACTATTCATTTTTTTAAAACAGCCAAATTGTTGCAAATGCTAACTCTGTTTGCCTGAGCTTTTTTAGGCGAAGGGATTTAATTTGAACCTAATCAAACAGAGCTGATATGGCTTTTTAATCCGAATGATAGAGCTGACTTTGAAATCCTGTACATAAACTCTCCTCTACATAATGATAATATGGTTATTACTTTAATTTCCCTAACGGCTTTTATTTATTTTCATTTTTAATACTTTATCAAAGTATTTTTATTATTACTTTAATAAAATATTCAAAATGAAAACGTTTGAATAGCAGTTCATATGATACTAAATGTAAAATAATACTTAAGATAAAATAAAGTTTGATTGGTATTAACTGAGTTTACCAGAAAATTAAATCATCAATGGATTAGGTTTGAAATGTATGCTTACAAGTTTGTTCACAGCTTTTATAGCGAGCTTTTGTTCTTTCCAAATTAAAACTAAACTGAATTCAACCGCTTACCTTAAATAATTCAACATATACTTCTCTTTACAAATACAAGTTGTCCCAAAACTTTTTAAACAAAAAAGGCTTTAATTTGTTTCAACTAGAATGCAAGAACTAACTCAGGCGAAAAAATTCACTAATTTTAGTTCAAAGAACAACGCTAAAGAACAATCGACTGGAATTTTCGCTGCATGAAAAAAATATAAAATTATTGAAAACTATCAAAAATTAAAATAAATTGCATTTAAAAGAAAATCCTAAAAAAACAAACGAAAGTTGTACGTCAAATTCCTAAAACTAAAAGCTTATGAAAGTTGTATATTAAACTCAAGCTAAATAAATTAAACCTCAAAGAAAAAATCTCTTAAAAAATTATAACAATGATTTACTTGAAAAATATAAATTAAATTCTAGGCGCACTTTAGAAGTTATAATAGAAATCATCATGATCAAGAAGAGATAGCTAATGAGCAGAATAAATATTTCTTTTGGACCAAATTTACCTAAAGAAATTTAGTATATTAGATAATGTAATGATTCCTATTACATCACTGGTTAGTTTATTTAGCCTAACTTTTGAAGAGTGTAAATGCGCTTTTAAAATAATAAAACCAAATAAATCAGTTGGTACGGATGATATCAATGTAAATATTATAATTAAATCATTTAAAGTAATGAAAGATAATTTATAAGATTTTTTTTTTCTTCTATTATGCATGGAATTTTTCCTAACCAACTAAAAATAGCGAAGCTGATTCGTATATTTAAAGAAGGAAACATAAGTTATGTTAGCAACCTTCATCCTATATCTATTTTATCCGTGTATATATATAGGGTAGATGGGTAATATGAGCACCTTAAGCAAAAATTGGAATATTTTCAAAAATAAATATGCTGGATCCAAAATTTTTGCAAATAAACAATTTTTAGGGATCCCTATTCATAATCTATTTAGATATTTGGGCACTTGACATTTTTTCTTAAAAACACAGAGGTTTTAAAAAAGTAGCAAAAGTCCTCGTATTTTGAGCACTTTAAATTAGCTCAAAAAAATAGCATTAATTAAGTAAAAAAAGACCAATCTGCTTAATAGAACTAGTTGTTGGAATATAAGGATTCGTGATTAACAAACATATCATTAAAAGATCAAATTTTAAGCTACATTTTGTTGAAACAATACTACTATGTTTTCCGCAAAAAAAATTAATACATTGTTTTTTCAATTTTGTTTTGAATAATAAAACTTAAAATTTTTTAGATTTAAGTTACAGAAAAATATTTAGTATTGTTAATATATTAAATTTTTTTACTATGTTTTGTTTTTATTCAAGAAGCAATTAAAAACCACTGCTATTTTAGGACTTTAAACTAAGCAATTTCAATGAAAAGCACTGGGTAATTTGAGCATGCTCATATTACACAAAAATGGTATCTTTAAATAAAGTCAAAAATAAATATTTCTATGCATTATTTTTCAAACAAAAATTAATTGGATTATTAGCTAATATATTTTTCTTTATGAAAAAATTGTTTTTATTATTTTAGCACCAAAATATCGCGCCACAGAATTATTCAGGCGTGATGATTTTTTTTAACAAAGCAAAAAATTTAAAAGCGTTTTAATTAGATGATATCCGCTAATTACTGCGTATAAATTTACGCTAATTGTACTGATTCCTGTTATCACCACATTAATCATATTACCACATTATCATATTACCAAGGTGCTCATATTACCCTAATTTACCCTATATATATATATATATATATATATATATATATATATATATATATATATATATATATATATATATATATATATATATATATATATATATATATATATATATATATATATATATATATATATATATATATATATATATATATATCCTCGTAGTCGGAAATACGTTATCATCTATGCCGCGAACAGATACCATTTTGGTTGGGCGAAAATAAACTTTCGTTCTAGGTGTGGGTTCACAACCCTTTCGTAAGTCCAAAATTTGCGTTAAGTTTGCGTAAGTTTTGCTTAAGTTCAAAGTTGTGCAAAGTTTTATTCACAAACGTTGCGTAAGTAAAAACTTACGATATTCTTAAGTTTTTACGTAAATTATTATTTACGCAAAAAGTCTAAAAAACGGTATTCACAATATTTTTAGAAAATTCACAACATTTTTCTAAAAAGTGCTCAGCAAACTTTACGCAAGAAAAGTTTCGTCAACTATTTTCTGACTTAAGTTTGGCGTAACTTTAAATCATCTAAAAAATAGTGTTTTTATTATTGTAAAAGATTTTGTTTGTTATTGCCAATAAAGTATAATTTTATATTAATTTTATACTGCTATACGTTAAGTTATTTATTTAAATAATACAACTATAACTTTTTTTTAACAGCAACGACAATAGCAATATATTTACCAAAAATATAGATGTAATACATTAATACATAAACTTGTTTTATAAAACTTGTTTTCACCTTAAATTTAAGGTTAATACAATCTATATAATGGATGGTTCACTCTCTCATAGCCTAGCTAAAACAAGGAAAGTGACCATAGTATGGATAATCATATTGTTTTTTAGTATGCCAATAACTTTTTAAATAAGTTAGCTTAATAACTAGTTATTGTCATACTTTAAAACTATATGATTTATCATATACTTATACTGTATTAACACATGGTTGTATCTATACTATATATACTATGTTATACAAAAATATATAAAATAATATTATTGAAGCATATAATTTAACTTGCATAACTAGCATAAAGCGAGAGAGAGTTTTTATTATTATTTGTTTCTCTTTTTCATTACTTATATTATTATTTGTCTCTCTCTCTCTCTGTGTGCGAGAGAGAGGAAATATGTGTGTCTGGAAATATGTTGTATATAGATACAATATTTACAAAAATATGTAATTTATTCATCAGTTTTTCAAATATCTAAATTTTTTTTATTTATAAATGAAAACAAGGCTATTTCACAACAAAATAATATTAAAATTATCTCTGATTTATCAGGCTATAGAAGTAACAAAGTATTATAACCTAAATATTAAACTTACTTTGAATAATGACGATATTATTTTTGATCAGATTTATACAGATTTATTAACAATATTAAGATTATTTTGAACAATATTACTCTGTTGTTAATTATTTCAATTATCAAGAGATAATAATATCTATAGATAACTTAAGTTATTATAAAATTAGAGCATTTTTTTATTGTAATTACTTGGAAAATATTATTGTTATTTGCAAATAATAAACATATTCTGTAATAGTTTAAATTGTATTTAGTAGATATTTTAATTTATATTTCTATATAAAATCTCATTGTTGCAGTTTATTATTGCAAAGAGCAGAAACTCCATAAAAAATTCCTTGATACAACAGTTAGTCCAAATGGAACACTTTTCACAAATCAGTAGAATTGTTTTCTGTTGCTGTTAAAAATAGTATTACAATTCTTGAAATGAAAGCAAGCTGTTCGCATTGGTTGTAGCTATTTGATACTGTTTTTGGTGTTTTGAAAACTACAATACTTGTTGCTCTGACTTAATCAATACTTTCTCTGTCTCAATGAGTCAAACTTTATACTGCACATCAAATATAAGAATAATATTTTTATTCGAGCTGGTACTATAAATTTTCAATCAAAAAACTTACTGAAAAAAAACTAATAAAAAAACAAATGGATTTAAATTCAAATTCAACTTTTATTAATTATGTTAATACAACTGAAAATGTATGAAGTTAAAAATGTAGATTTAAAAATCTAGATAGTCACACATCAATAATGTATTTTTCATATTATGTTGTAAAAAAGTTGTTGAACTTTTGTTTATGCTTTCAAAATGTTCCTTATATTTCTGACAATTTGAATTATGTTTATAAATAGTTTTAGTTTATTTTTGTTTATAAATTAACTAGAATGCAATCAATAGTATTTCTTGAACTTATTGAAGCAGTTTATTTATTTAATAAAAGTCATTCCGGATATCAAATAAAAGTGTTGTTAATTCAAGTCAATTATGTGATAAAACAAGACCATTGAAAAGAAAATTTGACTATTATTATGATGTGTTCTTATACCTATGTGTATGAGAACTTCCATTATTTTATGAATGTGAAATTTTATGCTAAACTAAAGTACTTTGTTTTAACTTCTTGAAACTATGCTAGACAAATTGCAATATCTGAGCTTGGGTGAACCCAGACCGGGTTTGGTACCGGTATGGGCGCTAAAAAATGCCTAAAAATATTAATTTCTTGTTATTTTTCTTTTTCTTTTTATATTAAAAATAGAACTAAAAATTTCTATTAAATGCTAGTTTTCTGTATATTTTAGTTACTTTATTTAGCCAATGATGTTTACAAAAAAGGTTTTCGGTAAGGTTAGGGTTTTATAACTCACCGCATCAAAAGGGTGATCTCAAAAATAAACTCTAGGGTCATTACTGCTAAGAAAGAATTAGGAAAAAGCAGAGGCTAAAAATATTTGATTTTTTAACTATTCAAATAATTAAATAAACTATTCAAAATTTATAGTATTAAAATAACTGTAGTATTCAATTATGATTAAATAAAATCAATGGGGCATTCACTGATAGCATCATACAGGAAGCCAAATAATTGTCTTATATAAGCTCAGGATAATAAAATTTATAATAACCCATTTGGGTTTAAGTAAAAATGCCTCAATTAGTTCTTATTGAGTGCTTATAATGATTATATTTACAATAATACATGTGAAACATTTTGTTAGTAATTAATATCTCATTTAAAAAACCAACCGACTCTTATTTGGTCAATTTTTCTAATTTTCGATTATTGATTATTTTTCTAATAAATATTCGAAATATATTGAAAGACTGTTTATGCTATAAATGCTATTACTTTTAAAAGTAACTGCACGTATATGCTGTATGGGGCTATTCAAATTCTACGAGACACTTTTTTTCCACTTTTTAGACTTAATTCCCCCCCCCCGACCCACCCTTTGTATATGTGACATTTTAAACAATCCCTCCCCGCCATATTCGTGACGTGGTGTTTTTTAAACAAATATATCCCTGTGGTTAGAATTTAAATTTTAAAACTTTTGTCATGTCACACTGTCGCTAGCCACACCCTCTACCACGTGATATTTGGTGACACTCTCAAGCACCATATATATATATGGTGTTTGAAACATATATAAAAACATAAATATATATATATTTAGTTTCTAAAAAATTTGAAATTAATGATAAAGAAAGAGTGACTATTACAAAACCTAAGATATGGGGAATAACTTTTTTTTTATATTAGGATGGCATACCTAATAACTTTTTTATAATGAATTTAGATTTAAACAAGTTGGAAGTTAAAAAAAAGGCAAAGGAGCTATTTTTTGTAACTTGATGCTTCTAATTCTTGAAAAATTATTGACGATGATAGAAAAAGTTGTAGATGCGTTGAAAAGTTAAAACTATTTAATGTAGAGTTTTAGTTTAAAAGATAACAAGAGCTTTTTTTTTTATTATTTGCATGAAAAAAAAAATTGTTTATAAATTTTTCAATATCATTTTTATTAAGAGACGAAACAGCAAGGCTATTATTAGTTGTGTGGCTTAAACAGCAAGGCTATTTAAGTCACGTATCTATGGAACAATCATTATAAAACTGTTAAAAAAATGTTACCCTGAATTAAATGAATTTTTAATGTTGTTACATTCATGTAATTTGGATTTATTCATGTATCTTGTTGATATATGAATGTATCTGTGTATCTATTTTTTTTGATTTTATTCTTTGTTTAAAATTTCAATACACTTTGCTTTAAATTTGCAGAAAAATTTTCAGCAGATTTTAGATTTGCAAGCCCAAATCATTGATAGGCTTAAAAGTATCGAACAAAGTGGAAATGTTGATTTTATTTTGAATGATGACATTATGGAAAAAAAAATCAATAAGTTCATTTGAGAGATTCAATATTATTGAAAATATTTTAAAAACAACTTCAAATGCAAAAAAATACAAGTTAACTTCTAATGTTCACTCACTTTGACAATAAAAGTCTATTATTCCAATTTTTATTACTGTGTGATGCCTTGGGGTGTAAAAATTTAGTGAAAATAATAATAGTTGTATTGATAATAGTAATAGATGTGATATTATGGCGCGCTTGCTTTTTAAACAAGAAAATCTAAGTTTGATACCGCCCACGTCCTATAAAGTACCATGCTCAACTAAAATCTTACCACAGCGGCCTTGTTTGTCAGGGTTGATGTTTAAGTTAAGTGTTCAGTTAAAAGCTAAAAGTAAAAATGTTTTAAATGCTATCATGAAATACCAGCATTATTTAGCGAGGATGGGAGAAAAGGAAAAAGTAAATTTACGAACACTCCTTATTATAAATGTATAAAAGGTGAGCATTAAATGCCAGTTTTTAGCAATTGCAACTTATATATGAAATATTTTTGTTAACAGTAAATAGCAGAACGTGAAACAGTAGTACATTGCTGTTTTTCTCCTATTCATTATTTGCAAATATATTTGCGGTCGTTTTTTATCTTTATTTAGTTTGTTTATGTTTGACTTTCCAAAAATAATTAACAAGTATATTAATATAATTTTTATTGTGAATGGCTTTTAGCTTGTTGACTTTGGAAATCAAATTCCAAACCAAACTTTATTATCTTTGCTTTTGAATTTAGTTATTTATTATTGGTTTTCGAAAAGTTGTTGCATTTGGTACGTCCACTGGACGTCCATTTTGGACGTTGTTCTGATTTTTGACGTACTATGAACGTTCGTGTGTCCATTGGGATGTGTTTCAGTTTTTTTATAATACTTTCCACATTTAAATGCAACATTTGGATGCACAAAAGATGTAAAAGTGTAAAACTTTAGTGTAAAACTCCTAATAATAATAATATGTATTAATATATAGTATTTTTTTTATTAAGTTTTCTTTTATAAGTTCCTAGGTTCTAAAAAATAGCAGATTTATTTTGATGGTTCAAATATGACCTAGTCAGGCGTTGTGGAAACTACAAACCTTAATATGTTCATGGTAATTAAATGAGAATGTTTTGCAAAAAATAACGGTGATTGGTAGCTGGAAACAAAAATATCCCAAAGTGTTTGTACTCTCTACCCCAAATGTGAAAACAATTAATAAGATTATTTTTTAATAGTCTTATACTAAATTTAAATTCATCGATAGGTTTTTAACTTTATCATATAATCTTTTGTGTTAAAACTTATGGCCATGTAAAGCTTACGCCTTCCCTCTCCATTTTGTGGAAGGTGGCAATTTTGTATGGTTATAAATTAATCATTGTTCGCATCACGATCATATAAGAGAATGCTGCAAAAATAATAATATTTACACGTTATCTTTATATTTGAAATAAAAGATAACAATTGCTATTATTATTTCATATTATATATTACAAACTCTATACTAGTATCTTCCTACGTCTGTTAAACGAATTAAAGAACAAGTGTAAAAACTGTATACCTTTCAACATGCTGGTTTACACAAAGATATATTTGTGATTTCACATCATCCCAATATATACCTCGACCGTAACTCTCTAAATAAATAAAAAATCAGGTATCTCAAATATTATTTTTATTTTCAAAACTATTGTTTTTAAAAACTGATCATATAAATATGAAAAATAAGTATCCGATATTATAATATCTATTGAAATAAACCACAATAGTGTAAATTGTGTAGCATAGTAACATATTTATTATACTATTACATGGTATTATAGTATGTAATAGTATACTAAATTATGTTATGTATTTCAAACAAAGCTAGGTCAATTTAAATCAATTTATTCTGCGTAATTACAATACTTTTTAGAAAACACTTTAATGATTTTATTGTCTTAATTACTATCTCATATCTTTTAGACATCTCCTTGAATAATTTTTTTTTTTCAACATTAGAACCAGGCTATATGGTTTCCATTTTTAAATACGATTTCTTAATTATAATATTATATTATAATATATAAAATAAAAAGACCCAACTTATACAGAAATAAATAAGTACAGAAGAGATGCTTACTCGTAACACTATTACTTTTTTCAAAAATGTTATTGATTAGTCTGCTTTGCGAATAAAAAAGATGTAAGAAAAAAAAAATTAGTCTATAATGTTTTATTTAAATATATTTAATATTATATTAATATTCGCAAGCTGCTAGTTGCAGACCCCTGTATAAACCCCTGTTTATACAGGGGTCTGCAACCAGCAGCTTGCGAATCTCATGTGGTTCTAACGATGTCAAGGCTCTTTAGCCCCCCTGCTCAAATATTAATATAATATTAAAATAAGATGTTGGAAGCTTTTTAAAAATTGAAAAATTTTGTAAATTGTTGAATCAAAAAGTCTCAAAAGTTTGCCGACCCCTGGTTTTTGCAATTTTTTAAAGAAAATTTTTGTTATTCTAGACTCTTTAAAAAATAATTGACTTTTACTGTAAAATCATATAAGGTCTAAATTTAAACTGAAAAAAATAGCACATTCACGGATTGTGACGATGAGATTATTTAAGAAAAGGGGGTTATACAAGTGAAAAAAAAACTTTTCATGCATGGGTTTTATGTTTTTCTAGAAAAGAAAAAGAAAAACCCATGTGGGTTTTTTTTGGGTTTTTCTGAATTTTGAGGCTTACTTATTTCGTGTCTGCAAAGTTTTGAGCCGCAGTCTTAATTCTCTACAAGGAACTTCACTACGTTCAGAACATCATATATTTGCTTCTTAAAGATTATGTTTTAAACGTGATATGTTTCTTTAGATTATTGCACACAAAAAGTGCTTACACTTCATCAGGCTTTTAATTGCAATTTACTTAATAATGACAAGTTGATAAGAATACTGAAGAACATTTATTAGCAATTAATTTTAAAGAAATTTAAAATAAAATTTTTAATGGCATTAATAGGAAAATCTCATACAACTGATTAATGTTTTATATTTTATTTCAACAAATTCAGTTAAAACAATTTTTTGTTTTTCAAAATGTTCGTGTTTTGATAAGTATTTCAATAAACCATGTTTCAAGCTGTTTTTAAGTCTTTTTTTAAATATTCTGAAACGCTTCATAGAAAGATTTTTTTGATTAAGCAATTAGGTTTGTGCTAAAGAAGATTGATAAGTGGAAAATCAAAGAATCAAGCCGTGCACCCAGTGGGCACGAGACGGAAGAAAGACGCCTTTTATACGTCTTTGGATTATTTTGAACATCTTTCAAACGTTTTTGGAACGTTGTGAACGTCTTTTGAACGTGTAAAAGACGTCTCATTTAGGTTCTAGTCCCACTGGGCAGTTTATGATTTTTAACTATCGTTTTTATTTATTTCCCAAGCAAATCACAATCTTGAACAATAAGTTTTATCTCCGTAAGAATTTTATCTCCGTAGGAAATGTTTGGTAAACTAAAGATTTGTCACTCAATAACTTGTTCTTTTTCCAAGAAACATTATTTAATGAGTAAAATAAATGGAATTCTTTTTGTAAAATATCTTAATTTTGATTATTTAAACGTCAAATAAAAACACTGTTGCAACAAAAAAAAACCATTTTTTGATTACTTGTACGTCAAAATCTGATTATAAAGATTATATAATTGATCATATAATTGTAATCTTTTAATTAGTCTGTTAATCTTTATGTTACTTTATCAATTTCATCTCTTCCACTAAATTCCAACTCTAATAGTGGTTCCTTGCAATCTTTTTTGAAGAGAAGATGTTGGGAAAAAAAAAATGTTTTAAAATAATGACTCCCTAGTGATAAAGTTAATCGTAAATTAACCAATTTATTTGAACAAAATCTAATATAGAGTTACAGCCATCAACTTTATGAGATATTTTTATATGACCTCTTTCTTAAAAGAAAAAAATATTTTAGCCACAAGACCAAACACCCGAACATAATAATACAACAACGGGCATCAAAAAGAATCTTGGAGTCAATCAATCTGGAGTTACGTAGAAGTACTTCTTTGATCATAAAGTAATATACAACATATTTGATAAAATTATGTAATTATGTAATGGTTTAAATAATTCATGTAAAAAATTGAATTGTAATGGCCGTATAGTCTTTTTATTATTTGCAAATAGTCTTGGAAAATAAGGTTACTCTTTAAATTTCACAGCAGCCGTTACACAGTGGCTAGAGCTCTTGCTTCTCGCTTAGAACCAATGCCAACTCTGGCCAGAATAGCGACATTGGAAAGAAAGTAAGTGTTTAACTTTCTAGTTAAATCCTGTCTGTGGTATGACAATAAAAGCTTCTCAGAGCACCTAAATAATAACAACAACAAAAACAACAACAACAACAACAAAAACAACAACAACAACAACAACAACAACAACAACAATAACAACAACAACAATAACGACAACAACAAAAACTTAAATTACTAATTAAATTTTTAAAAACTAACCGAGGAATAAAACTGATTCCGAATAGGTTCAATTGCTAGAAAGCACAATTAAAGCAAATACAATATTATTAAAAAAAAGTAGAATAAATAAAAGTAAGTTAGAAAGTTTGTGCAGCCGTGGTCCAATGATTGCAGATCTGGCTAAGAACCAAAAGCTTCGCGGTCTAACGTCGACTCAAGCCAATTAAGCGACATTTGTAGGAAGGAGATAACTTTCTAGTTAAATGCCGCTCTTCTGCGGTGCTCTGTAATAAGATCGTAAGGACATCTGGAAGCATCTTAATAACCACCGAAAAAAAAAAGGAATTGTACAGCATTTTGATGTATTATTTCCCCAGGAAAAAAAATTCTATAGAAAGAAAAAGTTTTATAGCAAATTATAGAAAATAATAGACATTCTATAGAGTTTCTATAGGCCATATGTTTCAAAAGTTTATAGAAAACTCTATAAAACTTTTATCCTTGGTTCAACATAATAAGAACTGCCTATATAATGACAATACTTATTCTCTACAAATAAAAATATAAAAAAAGTCTTGCTCTGGATTATAAAAAAACTGAGAAATTAAAAGCAAAGTGTAATGAATGCTTTTAAAGAGAAATATGGTAATATAACGTTTTTCAGGATTCAAACAACACATTAAAGTGTATTAAGAATCCTAAAAAAAGTTAATGTGTAAATTCTAGTCAGCCGATGTATACGACTACAGCGATATCAGTCAATTTATGTAAACATAGAATATTATTCCGTGAAAATTTAGAGACTTGCATAAAAATGTATGTAAAACCTGAATAACCAATATCTGTGTACAGTTATCTAACTGGTATACTCCATTTCATGATTAATTAATTTTTAATAAAAATCGCTTTCTAAAATGAATCAATATTTAAAAGTGAACTTGAGTTATGTAGGCATATGTCCAACATAAAAAGGCTATGTAAACTTACTGAAAGAAGGGAAAGGCATGCTAAATATAGCTCTTTTTCTGAATCAAAGAGGTTACAAATTACTTTTAGTGATCCGCCTCCTACAAAATATTAATTTTAAATTATTTAAAAAATCTCATAACGTTTTTATCTGAGTTAATTCCAAACAGTATTAATGTTTGTTCAGAAAATTGCTTTCTGTAAGTTAGGGCTGTGGAGTTGGAGTCGGAATCGCGGAGTTACGATATTTTTAGCGGAGTCGGAGTCGCTAAACAAAATCACGACTCTGACTCCAATAATAAAACTTCTCGGTATTGCACGTGCATGTACAAAGTATTCAATTAACCTTATATTCATACTAAACCTCAAAGAACTTTTCATAAATTTGGCAAAGAAAAAATTTTTAACTTATCGTGTAATACTTTTTTTTTTTAATTTAAAGAATTTTTCAAAAATTTTGCTTTGGAGTCAGAGTCGTTCTCTGAAAATTTCAACAATTAGAGTCGGAGTTGGTACTTTTTTAACGACTCCGTAAGTCATTACAAAGTTGGGCAGCTCGTTTAATTAAACAAGGCCTCTTAACACATCTGTTGACTGAATTTTCTTCTGCAATAACTACATCATACAGTTATCAGTTCATACATACAGTTATCACAGTTCATACATACATATCACATCATACAGTTCAGATGTGTTTCCTTTTTAAGTTTTTTTTCAAGATTTTTCAAGAATTTGTATTCCAATTTTCCTTAAGGATTTCAGAAAAATGTGTGAATTGAATTGACTTGTAGTAGGTGATGGTAACCCATCTAAATAATATAAGCTTTTGATGATTAAATCAATTTGAAAATGTTAATAAATTAATAAACAAATTACGAGTATTTAGATGTGTCTAGACTCCATGTGTTTTTATAAGTTGATCTTAAAACATTAGAAGTGATTTTTTTCCGAACTTTTTCAGAAGTATTAGATAACTAAACAAAATGGCGGATGCTTTTTAATAACGATTTTATAAATAAATAAAAAAAATAAATAAAAAAAAGAAAACAAAGAAGAAAGAAAAAGAATAAAATAAGAAAAATAAATAAAATAAAAATAAAAAGAATGAAGAAAAGAAAAAGAAAGAAATGAATAAGCAAGAAACAAAAAAAAAAATTAAAAACCAAATCAAACAAATCAACAAAAGAAAAAAAAACATA